TGTGTCTGTCTGGGTTGTTCTAGAACATACGAGCAGCTCAGGGCCGGGGCTGCCCGTGTGTCTGTCTGGACCTCTGGTTCTCCCATGACTGTGAAGCCTCAGTGGAAACGCTGCCGTTCTACAGTTTTGACAAGTGTCCTTCCGTCCCCCTGCCTTCATGCTGGGCTTTATCTTTTGTTGAGTATTCTGGTAACACTTTTGAAAGGAGGTCTAAGCGTTTGCTCTGAAGGAAGTGATGATCCGAGTGAGAACATTTCTCCAGTTTCTACTGTTTTCTAACAGTTCTAGACCGCAAAGAGGGGACTAAGAGTGCATTTGGGCAGAAACTATAGAGTTGATTTCCATATGCTGGCAGTATCTGAGACGGGACAGAATCAGTGAGGAAGTGACTGCTGGCAATGAAGGGTGAGCTTAATGTCCTAGAGCTCACACAGAGCCTAGGGTAACACAGAACCCAGTGACAAATCTCCATGAGGTTTAGTTCCCCAGGACTGTCAACATCACCCTTTGTTCTTATTCTTTTAGTGACTAAATACGAAGGTGCTTGATTTTTTAAAAAACTTATTTTGCAGAGGATGAAGGTTTACAGAGTGGATGAGTTTCCCATTCACCGTTCCCAAGAACAAAATTCATGTGCATTTTGCTTCACATCATTAACTGCAATCTCTGTAATGAAACACTTACACACTTACACACCTCTTGCCTGTTTCCTGTTTCCCTGCCTCCTCCTTCCCAGCTCTGCTCTGGGGTAACTGAGGCTCTTTAGATCTCAGATGGTTCATTGTTGTTGTTAAGTGCTGTGGAGTTGGTTCCGACTCACAGTGACCTTGCACAGGGTTTTCGAGGCTGTAAATCTTTATGGGAGCAGAAAGCCTCATCTTTCTCCTGCGGAGCGGCTGGTAGTTTTGAACTGCCGACCTTGCGGTTAGCAGCCCGATTCGTAACCACTACGCTACCGGAGCGCCTTCAGGTGGCTGATTAGTCTAAGGTTATTGTTTCCCTTATAAACCTGTCTGTTGTTTGGCTGAAAATTGAACCACGGGGGTGAGTTCATTCCCAGATTTCTATGTTTGTACATATTGCGTATTAGAGAGTGTCTAATGTTTTAGGACTTACTGGTCATTGAGGACGTGGCGGTGGTCTTTAGCCCAGAAGAGTGGGCTCTGCTGGATCTTACTCAGAGGAAACTCTACAGAGATGTGATGATGGAAACCTTCAGAAACCTGGCCGCAGTAGGTAAGAAAGACATCATTCAAAAAAAAAATAAAATTTCTTTAGTAAACAATACGATTTTGCTTCTCAGCTTTGCTGTGAAATTGGGGTGAGGAATGGGAATAAATTGTTAAATAAACAGGCATCGTCGTTTCATCTGTGGAGCGCACCTATTCGGGCTTCCCCATGAACAAAAAGCTGTAGGTAGCAAGGTGAGTTTTCATTTCGCTTGTGATTAATAGTGCCAAAGCTCTTGTCATGCTGTGAATGTAAGCATGACTTTAGGGACTGCTTGAGACACTGAGAGGCTGGTGTTGTGGGGCTTGGGGAAGAATGTCCTTGTGTTTACTACACGTTTGATGTGATTATTTTCGTTGAAAATAAACTCACGCCTTTCCATTTTCCGACACCCTGAAGAGCAGGGTATTGGCTGTGTTGTTCCTGTTGTAAGTGCTGTCCAGTCGGTTCCAACTCACAGAGACCGTGTTGTTTGTTGTTGTTAAGTGCCATCGAGTCGGTTCTGACCCGCAGCGACTCTGTATAGGGTTTCTGTGGAGCAGCTGGTGAGCTTGAACCTCCAACCTTGTGGATCAAATGGCTTTCCAGTCTGGCGCATTAACCCGCAGCGCCACACCAGGGTTCCCACAGAGACCTTACCACCAGGAAATGGTCCTTGTTGGAACCCTCTTCCCTCCTGTTATGATTTCTCCAGAGCACTGCGTCAGCTGGGCCCACTTGTGTTCCCAAAGGAACGGGGGGCAGTGGGGACAGGGGATGATGTTTTAATCAGTCAGCTAGAAGTGTCTTTAGGTTGAGGACACGTCTTCACAGAGACTTGAGTTTACTTTTCGGACTTAAACAATTCGCTCTCCCTGCGGTCATGAAGACCCTTTCCCTCTTGTGGTGTTGCCTACATATTATATCCAGAATCTTTCTTCTTAGCTACTCACTTTACACCTGTACGTACCACTGTTGTGCTGAGTCCACAGGGGAACGTTTCCTAGTCATTGCATTGGGACCACCGCCACAGTGTGGAGACAGCAAAATGCGACTAAGTCCGTTTTGTTCAGAGCAGCTTTTGTACCTGCCCCCAATGATTTTCCCTTTTTCGCCTTATATTGTGAACCTCAAATTCTTGGGTCAGTGTCTCAAAACCTTAATGATGTAGCATAGTTATCCAGTGAACATGTAATGCTGCAATATATGAAGACTAACCCTTTGTCTTCTACATTAGGAGAAATCACTGAATCGCATGATGGTACCGATCAACATAAACACCCACGGAGACATCTGAGGTGAGAACCGTTCACACAAGAGAAAACAGTGTCTCAGGTGACAGTCCGAAGATGTCATGACATTAATATTCTTAGACATATAAGGGGGTTCAAAATGTTTGTGGGAAAATGCAATGAAAAGATCATGGAACTTTTCCAAGAATGAGGTGAAGTTTCTTCAAATATGTACCCTGGTGGCACTCTGGTTAAAGTACTTGACCACTAAACAAAAGGTTGGTGGATCAAGCCTATCCACCGCAGCATGATGTAGCAGTGTGCTTAAGTACATATATGTAGCCTCAGAAACCAGTCGGGGGCTTTGATTTGGTCCCGTAGGACCTCTGGGAATCGAAATAGACTCAATGACAATATGTTTAGTTCTTAGTGTATCTCCATCTCACTCTCTCTCTCACTCTCATCTATCTATTCATCCATCCATCCATCTATCCATCCATCCATCCACCTATCATCTATCTATCTGTCCATTCATCCATCCATCCATCCACCTATCATCTATCTGTCCATCCATCCATCCATCCATCCACCTATCATCTATCTATCTATCTATCTATCTAATCTAGCTATCTTATCTAATATATATCTAAGCTATGTATCTATCTATGTTATCTGTCTGTCTGTCTCTCTTTCTATATATGGATCCCTGGTTGCACAGTGGTTAAGTGCTCTCTGTTCAACCCCCACAGCCGCTCAATGGGAGAAGGATGTGGCTGGCTGCTCCCGTAAACACTTAACACCCTTACAAGTCTTCTGAGCAGTTGGGACTCTGCTTTTTCTGGGTGCTCTAAGTCTGAGTTAACCTGATGACAATAAACAGTGAGTGGTTGTTGTTGTTGTTAAGTGCTGTCGAGTTATTTTCAACTCATGCAACTCTGTATAGAGATTCCAGGGAACAGCTGGTGATCTTGAACTGTCAACCTTGGGGTCCAGTGTTTATTCTACAATGCCGTGTTTATTTATATGATTCTTGGTATTGTAGAGGGTCAGTAAAAAAGGAGACCCTCAAAGAGATGGATTGACCTAGTAACTGCCAACAGTGAGTCCAAATGGCAACAATTGTGAGGACGGCAGAGACCCAGGCTGTGTCCACTGTGTTGGACATGGAAATGCTGTGTGTCAGAACCGATCCAACAATTAACAACAGCAAATTACAAAGTATGTGTTTAGAGAATCTTCACATACATTTTCATAAAGGTGAGTCACATATCGTGTATTTGAAACATACTTCCCCTGGACACGATTGTTAGCCATCTATTTTAGAAAAACTGGCAAGAAATTGTTGTTTTTCTGCTATGTGGTTTAACCTAGGAAACATTAATGAATCAGGGCAAAAGTCATGTGTTTTTACTGTGTTTTGTAATGGTGTAATGGGATGAAATTTCTTTCCAACGGCAATGCTGCGTATTTTTAACAGAAGTCCTACGATAACGAACCTGTGGGGAAGTAATGAAGACAGTCGGTGTGGGGAACCCTTACTCCAGATTCCACATCGTACTGAACTAAGAGGAGACCTTCCAGAAGACAGTCCTTTGGAATTCTGTCGGAAGGCCTGCATGGATAACTCATCACAGAAGCATCTTAGCTGCACTCACACCGGATGCAAGACCTCCCCGTGTGAGGCATGCAGAGAAGCCTGCAGCAGTCCCCCTCACCTACCCCCTGTGAGGAGATCCCATACGTGCAAGGTGTGTGGGAAGGACTTCATCTGTATCTCAACCCTGAAGACTCCTGTGACGACGCTCACTGGTGAGAAACGCTATGAGTGCACTGAGTGTGGGAGATATTTCTGTGCTTTCTCGTCCTTCTGGACACATGTGAGAGTTCATAAGCGTGAATGTAAGGAATGTTGTAAAACATATCATCGTCTGTCATCCTTCATTTTACATAAAAAACTTCGCAACCGAGAAATGCTTTACAAATGTCAGGACTGTGGGAAAACCTTTAGGGAGGCCTCCTACCTCACTCAGCATGTAAGAACCCACACTGGAGAGAAGCCTTACAAATGTAAAGACTGTGGCAAAGCCTTTAGTCGGGCCTCCTACCTCACTAAGCATAAAAGAATCCACAGTGGAAAGAGGGCCTATGAATGTAAACAATGTGGGAAAGCCTTTAGACAGGCCTCACACCTCACTAGACATTTAAGAATCCACACTGGAGAGAGGCCCTATGAATGTAAGGAATGTGGGAATGCCTTTAAAGATTCCTCAGCCCTCACTACACACGTAAGAAGAACCCACAGTGGAGAGAGGCCTTACGAGTGTAAGGAATGTGGGAAAGCCTTTAGTGACTCATCGGCCCTCATCAGACATACAAGAACCCACAGTGGAGAGAGGCCCTACGAATGTAAGGAATGTGGGAAAGCCTATAGACAGCTCTCAGCCCTCAGTACACACATAAGGACCCACAGTGGAGAGAGGCCTTATGAATGTAAGGAATGTGGGAAAGCCTTCAGTGATTCCTCAGCCCTCACTACACATACAAGGACTCATAGTGGAGAGAGGCCCTATGAATGTAAGCAATGCGGCAAGGCCTTTCGAGATTACTCATCACACGCTAAACATATAAGGATTCACACTGGAGCGAGGCCATATGAATGTCAGCAATGTGGGAAGGCCTTTAGGGATTCCTCAGCCCTCACTACACATATAAGGAGCCACAGTGGAGAGAGGCCCTATGAATGTAAGGAATGTGGGAAAGCCTTCAGGTTTTCTTCAGCCCTCACTATCCACATAAGGACTCACAGTGGAGAGAGGCCCTATGAATGTAAGGAATGTGGGAAAGCCTATAGGCAGCTCTCTGCCCTCACTGCACACATACAAACTCACAGTGGGGAGAGACCATATCAATGCTCAGAATGTGGGAAAGCCTTCAGTCGTGCTTCATCCATCACCAAACATACAAGTATTCATACTCCAGAGAGGCCTTATGAATGTGAGAAGTGCAGCTCTCAGCCTTCACTCCACATAGAAGAATTCACAGTGAAGAGAGCTCATATGAATGTTAGAAATGTGGAAACGTTTTATTCTTTCCTCACACCCCATTTGACATAAAAACTCAGTAGAGAGACAACTCTGTTAGAAGTGGGATACTTCATGCTGACATCTGTTATTTCTAACATCCAATTTCTCTAAGTCTCCAATTAACGAATAAAGTTTCTCCGTGAGTGAGAAAGCAGTACCAACTCGAAGGAGTCATTAGAGCTACCTTGTACCTTTGGGAGAAATGATGGTTCCATGATAAGACTAGAACTGTCCTCGTCAGTAGTTGAGTGTTTGTTCCATCCTCCATCCAAATGAAATTTTACTTTCTTACAGGCTTTGGCTGAAGGATACAGCCTTGAGAAAATGTGGTTTTATTCTTTTAAATGTTTACCAATAAAACATTTTACAATAAAACATTTTACAGGCAATAAAATGCATTGATCTTATGTTTGACTTAACTGTGTTTTTGTTTATTTCCCTCATTTCTTCCATTCTTTCCTATTGTAAAGTTAGCTATCACACGCTTTGTAATTGTTAAGTTCCTCATAGGGTGACATTTTCAGACTGCTTTTCATTGTACTTTGATCTGCTAATTCTGGTTTCCATTGATAAATAACGATTATAAGGGAGTCCTGGTGTGGCGCCGTGGGCTAATGAGCTGGACTGCAAAGTTGTTTTGAATTACAAGCTCGGTGGTTCAAACTCACCAGCTGCTCCTTGGAAACTCTATTCAGGGTCTCTATGAGTTGGAGCCAACTCAACAGCACTTAACAACAACAATATGATCATAATACTGTGGTATTTGCTAAAAGGTATTTTGTGTTCCAACCATTTCTGTTTCTTAATTGGAATACTACAAGGGATAGCTTTCGAGTCCCTCACGTTTACTTACTAAATTGTTTAAGAAGTCCTGGTCTGCTGCTATAACCTAAGCACTAGACTGCTGACCACAAGGTCCGCAGTTCAAACCCACCAGTGTTCCTTGAAAACCACTTTGACAGCATACAACAGCAATAGCATACCCATATAACCCAGTGCATATTATTTTTTATTTTTCTTTCCTTCCTAATGTTGCCCCAGATTTGGTTGCTAGGAACTTCCTTAAGTAGATTCCTGGATTGTTGATGTTTTTTGAAATGCACCGTTATGATTTGGATATCACTTTCTGCCTTTTTGTCCTTTTTCTGACTGAGCCTTACAATCAGCATTTTCTCCAAGATGCCCTGATTCTTCTTGTTGGAAACAAAGCTTTCGGCATGAGGTAAGCTAATTGCTGGTGGGCCCTCAAAGTGGGAAAAGCTAAGGGATGTATAAGGGGGCTTCAGAAAGTTCATAGGAAAAGTCCATTACCTTTTCATTCCATTTTTCCAATGACTTCTCAAAGTCTCCTCGTGTGTGGGAGAGCATAAATGGTATATATGTGGATACAGAGCTTAGGCTTGTCCGTCTGCTCTCTTGGCCTGTCTTCCAGAAGAGCCTCAAACACTTGAAGTAACGAATGGGTGGGTGAACCAAGTACTTATGACACATCAGTTTCTTGTATCGTCAGCACCAAGGACAGGGCCTGTCAGAGTGTGGGCAATCTCTTAAGGAATGTGTCTTCTCTGTCCCTTTCTTCACGTGTGGTGTCCTCATGTGTACCTCAATTCCAGAATCACTAAAAAGATATGAACTGCTGGATGAATGCAGGTCTAGCCCGGATCACAGTGTAACTTTAAAGCTGTCTTTTTGGATAAGGAGAGCCACAGGAAGACAGTGGTGGGGTCCGTGGTACTTACCATGGTTGAATCTTGTCAAATGGCTGATGTTTATTTGAAAAACAAGTACTTCAGCATGCTAGGGCCTCTTGTTTTTTCAATGTGATAGTCTTCTAACACATTTTGTTATCTAAAAATCAAACCTGGTGTGCTGAAGACCTGGGGGGCATGGGGGAGAATTGCATGGAGGGGATTGTAACCATGGCAATGAGATGATATATGATAGAATGAATGTAAAACTAATGTTCTCCCATGTAAACTATCACATAATTCACAATAAAACATTAAAAAAAAAAAAAATCAAACCTGTATTTGCCCACCTCCCCTGCGGGAAGCAGGAAGCTCACAAAGCCCACTGGTATTTGCCATGTCAGCTGTCAAACGACTTCTCCGGTTGAGGGTCGCAGCTCTACTGAGTTAGAAACAGGTATGAACTTTATTGCCGTATTGGCAAGAAGGCCAAGGCACGCATGGCCTCCGCTGGTACCAAAGGGTCCTGGTGAATTGGGATATTCACCTGTTCATAGTGGTTCTGCCGGATGCAGTTGGCAGCTCATCAATTCGTCCAGCTCCTCTGGCAGCCATTCACGTTTTGTGTGCGGTATTGCATCTTAGCTGCTTCTGAAGGTTATCCCTCCTGCTAAGCTCCAAGGCCCACAAGTGCTCGGTCCCACCTTCCAGTCATGGAAGCCCATTGTTCTCGCCGTACTATAAACTTGGGTAGACAGCCCAGCTGCTGATGTACGGGGGCCAGAGGGTCCAGTTCATGTAGTAGCACAACCAGGAGGCTTGAAACTCTGCCCCCTGGGTCCTAAGGTCCACACCATACCCCATCCAATTCATGTCCTCATCTAGACTAGCAGCAGCCACAGTCCACTTGTTCTGGGCTCTGGAGCTAGATCCAGCAGTACACCATGCACTTCACAAAAGAGAGTCTCTACTGTGAGGGTTGGAAATGTAAAGGTAGATGTTTTATAGCAAAAGGAGGGGAGAGATTGACTGCAGTCCAGGAGTGGAGGTCCCTGGGACCATCAAGGGAGAAGAGCGGAGAGCAGGACCCTACCCAGAGGAGCAGTGATACCTGAGATTGAGGCAGAGACAATGACATGAAGAGATGGAGCATCTGGGGACTCTAGACCCAGAGAGGGAGAGGGGCTGTGTGCTGATGACTGGGGGAGCAGGCTTGTAGGGTATACCCTTTGGTTGGTTGATGATGCATGGTGGGGATTGTAACCATGGCAACAAAAGATATGCAATAGGATGAATGGAAAGCTAATGTTCTCCCATGTAAACTATCACATAATTCACAATAAAACATTAAAAAAAAGAAAAAAGGAGAGTCTCTG